ATTTGCAAAAATATGCTGATAATTACCAAATTTGGTTAGCTCCCGCCCCTTCCGCCCCTCCAATTTTTTACACTGATTCGGATATAATTTCAGTAACTATTAAAGTTAATTTTGGCAACTATGAAAAACTATTTCGGCATTTCGGATTTGGCAATGATCATTTGTTAAGAGAGATAATTTTGGCTAACATGCTTAAACCTGATGAAATGCTATAATAGAGTATGATGGTGGTTGTTTGTTGTGTTGTTAATATAAAAAATCGTTTACAAAGAAATAAACAAATGGTCATTGAAATAATTATTTTGGTTGGTGCAAGTCTATCCCGAAAAGGAAGTTGATGTTCAGGGTCTTTCCTAAAAAGGAAATCATTACCAACGATCTTTCCTTTTTAGTTAGATCGGTTGGACAATGACCAAAAAAGGAAGTGAAGCCACGTACATAATAATAAAAAATAAATTTCAAAATTTGGAACTCTTAAATTATTATTATTATTATTATTATTATTATTATTATTATTATTATTATTATATACAAGGGCCAAAACCAAGAGAAATTGTATGCTTTATTTGAGGAAGCTAATATAAAATTTTTTTTTCAATTTTTACAAAGGCCAAATCATGAAAAATTGCACACAAATAATTAATAAAACTTAATTTTTATTTTAATTCATTTCTATTTTAATTCATTTTTATAAAATATGCTGCAATTAAACAACAGAATGGGTATATAATAATTAAATAGTTCGCCTTGATTGATGATGATAGGTTGTACCAAAAAATAATATTTTGAATTTTTTTGTCCAGGTTGGCCCACATACTAGCAATCATCATAAGCTCATCATAAAAGTCACAGCAAGTGTAATTTGTATTATGAAGGTGTCCTAAAAATTTAACTATTTTTTCAAGTTTTGAAATTGTCTCGACATCATTTGGTTTAATACACCAGTGTTGGCAAATTGACTGATCCATTGAGAGCTGATGGACTTTGGACTGGTCCATTGCCAATAATAAATTACTAAATATGGCAAAAATGTTACATTAATGGAATCAATGGATCACCAATAGACCACCAATGGACCATACATTTGCCAACCCTGTAATACACTAATATAAATTAGAAAAATTGGAAAAAAATCAAATTATAATATAAATTAATTTGTATATACTTTTATTATTGATAGGTGCTTTTGTACGATGACCAACAACTTCTTGGTGTTCCTCTGTTGGCAGCGTGAACGAGGCATCTAAATAAAGTTAATAAAAAAAGGTTAGTCAAATGAATGACTAAACAAATCCAGAAAAATGCCCTCAAAAAAATTCCAATTTTTAGCAATGGACTCAGTGCTCCTACTCAAATCAAAGAAATGAGTGGCCCTAAAGTCTATCTCTTCAACTACAATAATAACCCAGTGCTCCTGACCCAGCCCTAAGGTTATCATGTAGTTAAATAATCAGAACCAATCAAAACACATTTCCAAGACTTGCCTTAAAGGTTGCTGTGGTGCAGCGGAATTGTATTAATTGTATTTGTATATTGTTATAAAAAAAGAGGAAAAGAAAAGAAGTTCTTTTTATAAGAAAATATTACCTTATGAACAACGTGTTTTGAGTAAACCAACAAAAACAATAACAATTACGAAAACAATAAATAATAACAATAACAATGATAATAACAATAACAATGATAATGATAATGATAATGATAATAAAAAATTCCAAAATGTTCCATTTTAGTTAGATTTCAAAGGCTGTGTGCATAACCACGCATAACCACGCATAACCAGAGAAAATTTTCCACTTCTAGAAAGTAACACAAGTTACTGACAAGCCACCATTATTAGCAGGGTTGGCATTGGACAATGTTGGACATGGTGGACATGGTGAACATTGGACAATGTCCAATGTCTGTGTCCAACTGACATTGTCCAATGTCCACCATGTCCAACATTGTCCAATGCCAACCCTGCTAATTATTATTAGCTTATGTTCGAAATAATGAATTATTAGTATGATTCCTCTACATAATTAATTACTGGAATTAATGAGAGGAATGTAATTTATTATTAATATTATTTATTAAATATAAATCATGAATGTTTTTATCAATTATTCAAAGTTATATAGGCAGGTTGATTGAAGTGTTAAAGACAAGATATATGATGTATAAAGCTTACAAATCATATTTGATGAATGTTATCAATTATTCAATGTCTATGAAGCTTGAAAAGCAAATTTGTAAAATATACTTATGAAAGTTTATCAATTATTCAATAGCTATACAGGCGGGTTTGATGGAATTAAAGTGTTAAAGATAAGATTGCATTTTAATTTATACATTATTTATATAGGCAGGTTTGATGGAATTAAAGTGTTAAAGATAAGATTGCATTTTAATTTATACATTATTTATATAGGTGGGTTTGATGGAATTAAAGCGTTAAAGATAAGATTGCATTTTAATTTATATATACATTATTTATATAGGCGGGTTTGATGGAATTAAAGTGTTAAAGATAAGATTGCATTTTAATTTATACATTATTTATATATGTATAAATAAAAACCATTGCTCAAGTAATAATGATCATTAATAAAACTTTAATCAAAAATCTTTTCTTTTAACTCATATATATTACATATTAATAACATCACCATCAGATCCTGCTAATGTTATTGATGATAAAACAATCGCTAATAAATAAATACCTTTTAATCTAATCATTACATTCTCAAATATATATAAAAAATATTAATTAATAATAGGAAATGGATGAAAAAAAATAATTACCCCCAAAAAACCAAAGTTAACTGACATTATTTCCATTTTATTAATAGCCATCCTTGAAAAGAATCTGTTATGTGAATTCGTTTTTGTTCAAATTCATTTGAAAATATTAAATAAATCTTTACACTTATTATAATAACCAGGATCTGTTATGCGAATTCATTTAAAAAGCAAAATTTGAAGTTAATACTTTTTTATAAACAAAATTGTGTAATTTAAAAATAAATACTTAAAGCTTGAAAATTAGAACTTAACTATTGTACTTATTATTAATATGTAAAAAAAATTAAGTCTAAAGATTGAAATTGTGTATGTTGTCCAATTTCTTAGTTTATTATTATTATAGAACTTATAGAACTGGTAGTCCTAAGATTATTGCTTAGTGGTATTTGTTTACCCTGGCAAAAAATACATCAAAATAAAGGTTTTTTCATATATTTGTTA